ACTGTTCAATGAGCCTCTCCAGTAATCTCCATTCTCAAACAGCGTTCCTCAATCTCAGACATTTATTATTTGGACAGCTCCATTTTTCTCCCTACTTAGTGATTACCTTAAAAATCATTTTTAAGCTGTAATTTAATAAGGGATTTTTTTTCCAATTACTATTTATTCATGATATTCTACATTGCCCCTTTTTAGTTGTTGTTGTTTTGTCATGTGACAAGGTCTTGTTACGTTGCTCAGGCAGACCTCGAACTCTTGTACTCAAGCAATCCTTCCACCTCATCTTCCCAAGTAGATGGGACTACAGGCACATACCACCATGCCAGTCATACTGCCTATATCTTTAATCTTACTAATGTAAACGTTTTTAACTCATAACTTATCTTACCACAAGGTAAAAACCTACTTTCCTCCAGATTAAAGCTGGGCATAGCAGCGCATACTGTAATCCCAGCACTGCAGAGGCTGAGGCAAGAGGATGGAGAGCTCCAGGCCAGCATGGGCTACAGGGCAAGGCCATAGCTCAAAAGTAAAAAATGATTAAATAAGCCCGGAACCCTTAATTTTTTAAACCTAAATCTTTGCCCCAATTCTGAACTTCTCTTATTTCTCTATTCTCAAAATAAAATTATCAAGTAAAATCTAAGAATTACTTCCTTGCTTCTAGCATGTTATCCGAACTAGTTAGATGGATTAACTAGAAGTTTTGATGACTACAGATTCACTCACTGTATATACAAGCCAGTTAGCTTCACTTCATATAAAGTTCCAAAACACAAAAGCTAAATCCTGTCAGCCGCCCTTAGGATCCAGATTTAACCAGCCAAGACATAGCATACATTAGTCTCCTTAACTGCCAGAGTATGTTCCCAGACTCCCAGGGCATACTTGAAACTGGGCAGTACCAAACCCTATGTTTTTTCCTGCACATACATACCTTAAGTTAAAAGAGATTACCAAGAAAAAAATACAACAATTATCTCAACATACTGTAACAAAAGCTATGTGAATGTGGTCTCCCCCACCTTCTCCCAAAGTATCTTCCTGTACTTTGACGTTTCATTTAAAAGAAGGACTTTCCAGTTTCTCTTCGGCACATGTGAATTGCTAGCATCCCTACTTTTTGACTACTCTTGCATTTTTGGGCCCTTATTAAGTACAGTAAGGGTCACTTTAACATAAGCACTGATGTATCCTGACAGTTGATTTGCTAACCAAGATGGCTATGGCGGGATAGCTCAAGTGATGTAACGCCTGCCTAGCAAGCATGAGGCCCTGAGTTCAGATCCCAGTGCCACCACTAAAAAAAAATAATAAAAAGCAATGTACCAAGATGGCTACTAAGTGCTAATGGGCAGGTAGCACATACAGTGTGGCCATGCTGGACAAAGGGATGAATCACACACCAGGCCAGAGAAGTGGGATGGCACAAGATTTAATCATGATACTCCAAACAGCACAAAACTTAAAACTTGTGATGTTTATTTCTGAACTTTTTCACTTAATATTTTTCAAGCACGGGTGACCAAAGGTTAATGAAACTACAGAAGGTAAAACCATGGATAAGGAGGCGCTAGTATTCAGAGTACATCCCATGACTAGAATCCTTGGGGATGTGCATCAGATATGGCAACTTAACAGCTGTCAGACACTAGCTTAACTTCTTTTAGCATACCACTGTGAATTACTTTAAGTTTTTCAAGATGAGTTCAAACCCCAATACGGACAAAAAAAAAAAAAAGTGTTAAGAGTGTTTCCAGCCAGTCTGGTGGCTCATACTTATAACCCTCATTACGTGGGAGGCTAAGGATGGAAGTTCAAGGCGAGCCCTGGCAAACAGCTCATGAGACGCCCCCCCCATCTCCAATATAACCTGAACAAAATGGACTAGAGGAGGTGTGTCTCAAGTAGTATTGCACCTTATTTGCGAGCACAGAACTTTGAGTGCAACCCCAGTTCCACAAAAAATAAATAAATAAATAAATAAAATAAAGCATGTCCTTTAGGAGGAGATAAGCTGCAAACTCCTGTTCAATTTATGATCCATTCACAAGATCTCACACTTAGTATTATCATTAGTAAGTCTAGGTCACCAAGTATACTAACAAGGAGAACCCATTTTAGATGGGCCATGTTATCAAGATCATTTTGAAGTTCCACTTCTGCCTTCCAAAAGCCAAGAAATTACAACCACTTTGTTGTCATTTACAGGTGTAAAGTTCCCATTTCACCATCACCCAGAGTATGGAAATAAATAAATACAGAAAAAGACAAAGTTCCAACAGGGCTCCCTACTCACTATTCATTTTCACTGAGTTTGACCACTGAGTCGGTTATATGTCTACAGTCACTAACCTAAAACGTATTCTCCTAACATTACTATTTATGTTAGGAATAAAGCATATTCATAATTGAAAATCTCCTATTCACAGTGTTCACAAAACCACCTTGCCAGCTGGGAACCAGTAGCTCATGAGTATAATCCTAGCTACTTGGGAGGCTAAATTCGGGAGGATCCAGGTTCAAGGCCAGCCTGGGCAAACAGTTCACGAAACGCCATCTCCGAAATAACCACAGCAGAATATACTGGAGAGGTGTAGCTCAAGCGGTAAAGCCCTGAATTCAAACCCCAGGCCCACCAAATATATATACATATATTTAAATCAAAAGAAATTTCAAAAGCAAAAATTTTTAATCCCTGCATTACACAGCCCAGTTGATGCAGAGAAGCCCTTAGTCCATACTGCATTCTCATCAGTTGTATTTAAATTGTTGTATGAGCCAGGCACCTGTGGCTCTTTTCTATAATCCTAGCTACTCAGGAGGCAGAGAGCAGAAGGAATGTGATTCCAAGCCAGCCTGGGCAAATAGCTTGTGGGATTCTCTCAAAAATACCGAACACAAAAACAGGACTGGTGGAGTGGCTCATGTGGTACAGTGCCTGCCTAGCAAGCATGAGGCCTGAGTTCAAGCCCAAATAACACACACACAAAAAAAATTTCTTACGTGACCTGAGTATTTCCCTGTCCTGAATTTTATGAAAATATGCCTCTCAAAAAGCAAATGGGTGTTCAAAGTGCAAGGTAAAAGTTAATGTGTTTGCTGGCATGACTCAAGTGGTAGAGCGCCTGCCTAGCAAGTATAAAGCCCTGAGTTCAAACTCCAGTACCACTTAAAAAAAAAAAAAGTTAATGTGCCTATTGTAAGTGATAAAGTGAAAATTTCAGATTTGTTTTGAAAGAACACGTGTTTTTAGGGTCCACTGGCAATGGTATAGGAAAAATGAATAAAGCATCCTCAGTACAGTACTGAACTCTATACATCCTGAGCACTCATGGTTTTTCCTCAATGGAGGTCTTTTTGGAACCATATACCCATGAATATCAAGTGTCCCCTGTGGCTCATCACATGATACAGTTTAGAGGAGGCTAGGCACGGTGACATACATCTGTAAACCGAGCTATTTGGGAGGATCATAATTTGAAGCCAGCCCAGGCAAAACTTAGCCCATTTCAACAGTCAGGTGTGATGGTCCACCCATAATGCCAGCTCCCAACTAAGTAGGAGGACTGTAGTCCTAGGCCTGCCCCAGGCAAAAATTCAAGACTACTCAAGAAAAATAACTAAAGCAATTAAAAACAAAGGTTGGGAGTGTGCCTCGGGAGGTAGAGCGCCTGCTTAGCAAGTGCAAGGCCCTGAGTTCAACCCTAGCACTGCCAAAAGCCACTGTTTAAGAATAGATCTGTGTTCTAATTAGCATGAAATTAGTTCTCTACCTACCTACACTATGTAAGAATTTATTTTATTTCAAGCCAATTTTAGATTAAAATTTTAAATACTACAAGGTTCTCCAAATAAAGCTTACTAGTTGGTCTAGACAAAGAAATCAGTCCTCTTACAACATAATACTGAGTGAACTTGAAGTTTATCAACTTTATTTTCAAGATAAACTGCTACTTAGTATTTTTAATTATAACTACTATTTAATTGAAACAAGCAGTATCACTTTTCCTTCCCAACCCCAGGATCAAAAAGAGGCGTCTAACAGCTAATAACGTTTAAAAACTTCACTTAAATTTTTCACCCTGTCTGGTCTAATGACAGATACTCAAGTTAAATTTAAAAATAAATAAATAAAAGCTGGGTGCCAATGGCTCATACCTGTAATCCTAGCTACTCAGGAGGCAGAGATCAGGAAGATCACAGTTCAAAGCCAGTCCAGGCAAATAGTTGCAAGACCCTATCTTGAAAAAACCCTTCACAAAAGAGAACTGGTAAAGTGGCTCAAGGTGTAGGATCTGAGTTCAACACCTCAGTACCCCCCCAAAAAAAAAAAAAACCAGGATGGCAAAAGTTACCTTCTACAAAAACAACAATCAATAATAGGCCTATTTCAAACAACTTTCAGGAACTGATGAGTCTTAAAAAAGGAGTTGTTGGTTTGGCCGAAGTGGCTTAACCTATAGAGCGCCTGCCTAGCAAGCATAAGGCCCCAAGTTCAAACCCCAGTACCACAAAAAAAAAAAAAAAGAAACAAACAGGAGGGAGGGGTGTTGATAAACTAAGATATGCCCACACACATCTGTTTTGGCGACTGTAGCCTGTTCAGCAAAGCAACAATCCTCTAGAGAAAAGAATGCCACATATATTCCAGTAAAGCAAAATTAATGCCATGTGCCTTGGTAAAGATGCTGAGTCCAACCAAAGGTAGAATACTTTTAATTATGGACTGGCCCTTCAAAAGAATCACATCAAAACACCTTGGCTTTTGCCACAAACCCTTAGAAGACAGTGTTCAACGTTAGAGTACCAGCATTTCTTAATCATAGATCTAAAATAGTCATTACATACTCAACTGTGTTCTATTCTTTTAGTTCAGACCATGTGTAGGTTTCTGGGTTTACAACTCCATACCCACTCATTTTGCACTAATACAATCACTAACTATAGCTCCAAGACACAGATGTTTAGAAGTACTTAATTACGTAAATGATTCATACCTCCTATGTCCAGACACCAAGATTCTAGGATGTTTCTGTCCGATCTATGGGAAGAGGAAACAGTAAACACCTGTCACAAAAGCTTTCCAAACTGTTACTGTCAATCCCCAACTCCATTCCCTCCCTCTCAACTCCGTCACTCCCAAAAAACTAAAGGCCATACTGCTCCCCAGAACCTGAGTTTGTGAAGAGAATGAAGACAGAAGGCCAGCGTAGCCAGGAAAGTACTGCCGGCAAAGGCTCACAGAGGCCGAGTGCGAGGCTTTGGGCAAGTCAGCAGTCACTTTGATCTGGGCCTCAGTTTATAAAATGAGGCGATCGGCCCGGACCTCCACTACTCCGGGCTGAGAACGAACTCGGGATTCCTACAGTCAGTCCCCGTGCATCCCATCCGGGGACCTGCCAACAGCCCATCTTCGGCCACAAGACCATGCCATCTTCCGGACTCTCTAGAAGAGCTGGACCACCATCCCGCACCCTGGCGTCCCCCCGCCCCCCAGATCTTCACACTCCCAACGTGGACCCCTCTTCCCTGCCTCACCTGCCCCTGACATTCCGGGGGTCTTGGTGCCCCTCCCCTCCATGCTCACCTTCCCTGATTACTGATGCCCAATTCAGGCCCCAGGAGGCAGTCCGTAAGCTCACCTGGTACCCGCCACCCCGACAATACCGTTCTCCTCCTCCAGCCTCGCCATCACCGCCATCCACCCGCCCCACGCCCCGCTATCTGGGACCACTCACCGGCCGCGCCGCCGCGCCGACTCCTCGGCGGCCTCCCGGCCAGAGCAGCCAAGAGGCCGCGGGGGGCCGGGCCGCCGCTGCCACCGCCTAGCCTCAACCCAGCCCCATGGCCCTCGGCCGGCGCCGGCGGCCGCGGGTCGCTCGAGCTCGAGGCGCCGCCGCCGCCGCGCGTTGCGGCTCCGGCTGAGGGGACGGAAGCGCCGCGACGGGGCCCGGGCCGGGCCGGGCGCAGGGCGTCCGCGCTCTGCTTGTCGGCGCCCGCGGCGGCGGCGTGCAGCCCGGCAGGGCGAGAACAAGGCAGGGCGGCAGGCAAGACCGGCAGGGGAGGGGGGCGTTCTGCACTCTGAAACGGCCTCCCGCCGTCGGCGACGTAGCGACCCCCCCTCCCCTTGGCCGCGGCGTGCGATCACGCTACGGAGAGAGCCGGCGGGCAGACAGGGGAGCGCGCGCCGCAAGCTCGGGACTCCCGCGCCGGATGTGAGGTCACGTGATTGCCTCATCCCAGCGCCGAGGGCTAAGGGGGGCTGTAGGGACGTCAGGAGGGCGGGGTAGGGGGCGGAGCTACGGCTTGGCCCTGCCCACCTACCCGTTAGGCAGCCAAGGAAAGAACCACCAGGTGAAGGCACTATAAGATAAGTGCCAAGCATTGATCGATAACCTAGGGCTACTCTTTTGGCGAAAGAAGGTGAAATGTGCCGTCCTTGCCTTATACAGACAAGATCATAGTCCAAATCCCCATTTTATGATCAGAGAAACTGAGGCCCTATGACTAGTTCAGACTTGCCCAGAGTCACAGTCAGAGAGAAAGCTGGCACTAGAATGGTGGAGGTGAAACCAGGTCCTAGCTTACCATCCAGATTGGTTCGTTCCTTTAGCCCCCTCTCACAAAGTCGAATTTGACAATCGACTCTGCGCGCCGACTTGGGGCGGAGGTCTGAGAGGAGTACGCACTAGAAAGCTCCCAGGCGTCCCCTGCCTCCGCCTTCAGCGAGAGTTTCTACCGACAGACCATGCTGGATGCAAATTAAATACTTCCCTCCGCACACTATTTATCTCAGGGCAGGGCCCGGCCGGAAATTCAAATCAAGGGTTTGGTTTTCGCTGCGCCCGCCCGGCGACGCGCGCCAGAAGCGGGGAGCGCGCTCAGCCACCTGCTGCCTCCCACTCCCGCCCTCTTTCAGCTCTAAGTCGCCTGCGCCCGACACCAGGCCATCACTATTGTTATTCCACCTTCTGCTAGCCCAACTCTTAGCTGCTTGAACGTCTTAGAGGAGGGGACAGCCCCTGTCCCCCATACTTGGGGACACTTTGCTAAGGGGCAAGGAGCACTCAGACTGGACACTTCTCCGGGGGCTGCCCCTCTTGGCCCAAGGCACAGGGCGACACCTCATCTGAGACAGCCTATTGTCCCGGGTTCATGACACTAATATAAACACCTTACTGGGAGCAAGAAAGATGCTGTTCCTGCACCACCACCCCCTCGTTTGTGTGGGACCAGGCAGTTTAGTGGCATTTCCTCACACAGAGTGGTGTGGACAGCTCACTGACCAAAATGATCCACAGCTGTCTACTCTCAACCGGAGCTCACCGTTGCTTCAAACCTCACAGCTGAAATGAGTAAATGAGACAAGGAGGGTTAGGTAAACAGTATGAAAGCAATGTAGGTGGGGCTGGGCCTGAAAAACCTCCTCCCCACCTTTCCTGGCTCCCATGGCTCCTGGTTGTTTCCCCTAGCCTTTTAACAAGTTCAAGTCTCTCCAGGTCCTAAAAATAAAATGATCAAGCCAACCAGACACTGGCAGTGCCCTCTTCAATTAGACCCCCACTAAATGGTGGTCTCCCCTGGTGCCTCCACCTTCTTACTTAACACTTGGCAATCTGATTTTTCTCCCCAGCCCCCATTCACATCCTTCTTCACCTTGCTCAGGCAAAAGTAACTCATGACCTCCACTTGGCCGAACTTAGCAGCATTCCTCTCTGCATGTCTCTGCTACATTTGACACACTTTGGATGGGCTCGTCTTCTGGAATCTCCCTACTACCTTGGTTTCCAAAGGATTGTACTCTCCCAATTGTCACGTCTCAGTAGCTAAGGCCTCTGCCTCTTTCAATGGCATCCTTAAGTGCTACCAATTGTGAATCTTCACCTTAAATGCATGTCTCTGCCCTCAGCCCACAGCTCTACTTACTCCACTTACTATTGAGGATCACCTCCAGCCTCCATTTCAACTTCCAAATCAGCAACCTCCGGCCAGACCAAAATGTAGAACCAATATCCAACTGCCTGCCAAGCAGCTCACTCTAAAGCTCAAGTGACACCCCAAAATTGGCATGCCCAAAACCAAACTCATCCTCTGTTTTCATAGCTACCCACCCCCACCCCATCCCCACTATTGGCACCACCATCACATAGTCATCAGTTAGAAAGTTAGGAATGAGTGAGTCATCCTTGATTAATCAGCAAGTCCTCTCTATTTCACCTGCTTAATAAGCCTCAAATTTCTGCCTCTGTTCCACTGGCACCCATCCTTTCTAGCTTGCATGAGAACTAGCCTCCAAACTTCTCCTCCTTCCTGCCTCCAGAGTGAGCTATCTAAAATGCACTGTGCAGGTTCCCCTAGGATTCTGGCTGCAGTGTGTACCTCCAACTTAAAAAAGTACAAACCTGCACTCGGGCTCTTAAAACACCATAATGAGCCCAACACTGGTGACTCACACCTGTGATGCTATCTACTTGGGAGGCTGAGATCTGAAGGTTCGAGAACAATCCATCCAAATGGTTTGTGAGACCCACATCTCCAAAATAACCAGGGCAAAATGGTGTGACTCAAGTAGTAGAGCACCTGCTTTGCAAGCTTCAAACCCTGAGTTTAAACTCCAGTCCCACCAACAGAGAAAAAACCAAAAAGCTATGAAGAAAAGGACTCGGTGTGGCCTACATAGTAGAGTACTTGCAAGCTCAGGCCCGGAGTTTGATCCCCAATACTGCAAAAATGAATGCATAAATAAATAACCATGAAGAGCCCAGACTTCAAGATGCAGTCGATTTTTTAGTGTAAGGCAATGTAGTGGGGGCAAGGAAACGATAAGAAGAAAGATATCCATTGAATATTTCAAAAAGTTCCTGCTACGGACGTAAGATAAATCTGAACACTGACTGGGGAGATGATGCTGAGTCACCAGGAAAGGCCTGGGCAAGTTATAGGCTGAAGGAAGAGAAGGAGAGGAGGAGCCAGAATAAAAAAGAAGCCCAAAACAGGGGATAGATGGCAGGTGGAGCCAATCTTAACAGTTTTGAAGGCTTACTGATTCTCAACCCATAGTAATTCTGGGCCCCAGGCCCTATTCATGCTTGGCCCAGTCCTTCCCTTTTCTGACCCTACTCACTCTTTAATACCCAACCCAGGGGCGGTGGGGTGGCATGCCGCTATAGTCCCTACTGAGGCAGGAGGACCACTTGAGTCCAGGAATTCAAGGCCAGCTTGGGAAACACAGGAAGACTTTGTCTCAAATAAGCAAGAAATGACCCAATCCATGGGCCACAACCCCAAATAGATAACAGTCCTACTGTTACACTCTGACTTCACTTTCCACAAAAGTAGTTCTCCATCCTCACAAGCATTTTCCTTGCCTCTCCCATACCCCATTACCTTACCCCCTATTTCACTAAGAAAATCTACACCATCAAGAGGGAAAACCCTTCCCTGCAAAATACACGCATCATCTCACATCTACATGCAGTGTGAGTCTCTTTTCTTGCTCCAGAGGGCAAAGCCTCCTCCTGATACAGTGAACCCTCCACAAGTGCAGTGCCAGGCCTCCCAGAGGTCACCAGCATTGCCAAGTCCAGTGCACACTTAGTGGACCTTTCTCTCCAACCCTCTCACAGCATTCATCTCTCCTCCTTGAAGCACTTTGCCTTTTCATTATGTAGTCTTTTTGAATTCTTCCCTCTTCCTCCTTGTCCACTCCTTCTCAACCTCTTGCACGTGCTTCCTCTATCCTGCCTCTAAATGTTGCTTCCCAGGGCTCTTCCACCATCCATTCCGCTCTCAAGAAGAGTTTTAGATTTTGTTTTTATTTTGGTGCTGGGGGTTCTTATCCAGGGCCTCATGCATGCTAAGCATGTGTTCTGCCACTGAGCTACACCCCAGTCCTGTTTTTGTTCTTGTTTGTTTTAATTTGACATCTATGGACTTTGAAAGGGTTGTGTATGGGCTTCAGGAGCTCTATAAATTCCTTAACTTGAATGTAAAGCTTTTTAAAAATGTTGTAGAGCGTTTGTGCTCCTTGCAATAGTATTTGAGAGTAATTCGGAGACAGAGGTTTGTTAAGCATGCATAAGGCCCTGGGTTCAGTCCCCAGCACAAAAAGAAAAAAGAAAAGAAGGAATCCACAAAAGGATAAGACCTATGATCCGCATGTTTTCCCCAGTCACCTTCCCCACCAGGGCTGTAGCTAGCGTATATTAATAATAATACATGTACAATAATGACTCTCACCCATGTCCCCACGGCCCAGGCCTCCCTGCAGAGTCCCTGGGCCATGCCTCCCTACCATTTTTACGTGCTGCTTCTCTGTTGCCACTTATCTAAAAGTCAGCTCTTACCTTCTTCCCCAAACCAACTCCTCTCCCAGGCTTCCTGACCTTAGCAAAAATACTCTCACCCATCCAACTGCTCAAGCCTGAAACCTGGGAGTTCTTTCACTCTTTTTTTCTTTAAGGTCATTTCACTGTCATGAATTTGTGCATATTTATACAGTACAATATTCCAATATGATAATTCAATACATGAATGGTGTGTAATGATCAAATCAGTAATTGGGTTCCCATCGCCTCAAGCATTTATCATGTCTATGTGTTGGGAAACTTTGCAATCTTCTAAGTTATTTTGAAATATATCACAAGTTGTGGTAGACTATAGTTGCCCTACTGTGCCACAGAACACAGAGAACTAACTCCTCACAGCTAGCCATACTGTGCTATTCCTTATTAACCCTCCTACCCCCTTTCTTCTTAGTTTCTAGTGACCACTATTCTACTCTCTTCTATGAGATTAACTTCTTTGGCTTCCATACATGAGAACATGTGGTCTCTGTCCTTCTGTGCCTTATTTCTATGCATGTTTCACTTAACATGATGTCTCCAGTTCCATCCATGTTGTCACAAATGACAGGATTTTATTGTTTTTATGGCCGAATAGTATTCCCTTGTGTGCATATACCTTTGTCCATTTGCCTGTTGATAGACACTTGGTTGATTCCACATCTTGGCTACTGTGATGAGTGCTGCAATGAAAATGGGAGTACATGTAGATATCTCTTTTAGATAATGATTTCATTACCTTTAGAAGTCATTTTTTTTTTAATCTCCTGTTCTTTCACAAACTACCACCAATCCAATATCAAGTCCCTTTCAAATCCTTGCACATAT